TGTTGTTCCGCCAACAGTTTTTTAATACTTAAGAATGAGTGTGGCAAAATGAATGTTTGTATGCTGTATTTAGACAAAAACCCCTATAAAAGAGTCCTTGTGGTCAGCAATGGCCAGAACCTCTTGTGAAGATGCAGAGGGAGGACATTCATTCCTCCATGCAGGCTCATCTCACTCTGCTTGTTAAACCCATTAACTGCATTTGAAACTGCGTCAGGGGTCATTACTCATTAAGTTCTCTGCCCAAGCCAGTATGACGGCTTGAGGTTTTGCTATGGCAGTGAAGGACTCTGCAAGCCTATAAGAAATCATAATGGCTGACCCAGATGAGTTGAACGTGGCCTGCAACTCTGCATGCACTAGAGTGAGCAGAAAAACCAAAACCAAAACAAAAAAAAATTATAAAGGAAGCTTGGAAAACAAACAGGAAGTAAATGTTGAAAGCACTTTGCAAGGGAGACATAGTCGTCTCCAGGTAAGAGCATCCAATTGACTAACCAATAGCAAGTGGTCAACCCTGAAAATATAGATACGGGTAACATTATACAGCTAAACAAGTTATATTTAGAAATTGTATATATTTAATTTGTATATATTTGTATAAAAACAATTAATGAAAAAAGGAGGCTATAAATTTGAGAAAGAACAAAACAGGGTATATAGCAAGGATGGAGGGAAAGGAGGGAAAATAAAGTAATTATAATCCCAAAAATAAAATTAAAAAGTACTTTTTATTAAACAATGCCTTTAAGGTTTTTTTTTTTCATTTGTTCGTTTGACGACCTCAATCTATGTACTATGTCTCAAGGCCATATATCTGTTGACATAGTTTTTGACGTAGGTATGAGTTAGACACTATTTGATAAAATTCGAACTGTTCAAAAGCTTCTGTAATGATTTCATGCTAGGGAAAGCTCTGGGTGGGAAGAGCGGTAGCAGAGACTGGCAAATGAGAATGAGGAGATGACATAAACCGTGCTAGGTGCGGAGGGCGCACTGGTTCTGTAAAGGACACGAGGAGAGGCTGAAATAGAGCAGGCTGGGCAAAGAGAAGCACAGTTCGTTGCTTGGTCTTTTTAAATGGGGGTGTCTTACACATTGGGATGAAAATTAAAGGGAGAAGGAGTTTGGAAGGACAGAATAATCATTATGGCAGTAGGCTAATTTAAAACCAGAACAATCTTATCACCAAATTTCTAATAATCCACAGTTTCATCTGCAACAACTAAAATTCATAGGTATAGATCTTGTGTCTGAAACAGAAAAAAAAAACAACCTCAGAAACAAAAAGAAACAAATAAAAATCTCCAAAGGTGAGTGGTATGATGATGAAGCCAATTCTTAGCCAAGAAAGCAAAATGAACATTAGATTGAGGGCCTCTTGGTGACACACTGGAACTTGGGATTCAGGTCAGCTCCCAGTGTGTATGTGTGTGTGTGTGTGTGTGTGTGTGTGTGTGTGAACGAAGGGAAAGTTGAAGCTTCACATAAGGTAACAGCTCTGAGATTAGAGTGCCTCTCTCACCTTGAGTCCTAGAGGGACCAGCAAAATGAAAAGATTTATTCAAGGCAGGACTTCAATATTCTTTATGTTCTTCACAGGCTTGTTATCATGGATAAACAGGTAGACTCATAATTCAACATGTATCTGAGATAGATAATGAAGGACTAGAATTTATAGGATTTGCATATGACTTCAGGTGTGAGTTCCAGCACAGCTGTGCATTGCCTGCATGGGCTGGGGCATGGCACTTTACTCTGGCTTTGTCCTCATGTCCATGGCAGGGACTGGGGAGTCCTTCACAGGTTTATGCTGTTAACTAGAGGGTTGACAAATACAGTATTTACAATGGTACCAAATCAGTTGCTCACAGTCCTCTAGAGGTTAATGTAATAGGGATCTGATCTTGAGGACGGTGCTACTGGGAGATAGTAAATCCCTTAGAAAAAGACTTTTGAAAAGGTTCTTAGGAGTTGTGGGGGACTGGAAGGCACTGATTACTATGGATTTTGATATTATTGTTTTGGTTATGCAGACACTCCACAATGCACTGTCCTTATAAGAGACTCTAAATCCCTATCTGCTGAACTTGGCCTACAACTTCCAGAACTCAGTTCTACCTTTTTCCTTTAAATATTTTCCTTTTTAAGTGAATTATCTCAGATATTTGATTGTAGTGAAAGAAAGCTAATGCATGTATAAACAATTAATATTCAACAAGTGATCCTGGTTATGTGTTTAAATATTCTAACTGGAAAAATGACAGTACTATTATCTTGTATCTCCCCCATTAATGCTCCCTGAGGCAATTAAGCTCATTTATATAGTATATAATCTTTATCAAGAGCTGAACTGAGTCAGACTTTCCAGGCTTCCAAAGAGATACCCAAGGTCTCCACGGACCCAAAGATAAAAGGATCTATGTATATTTCTGCATAGTGTCCATGGTTTTCTTTTTCTTGTTTTTGTTTGTTTGTTTGTTTTTTGAGACAGGGTTTCTCTGTAGCTTTGGAGCCTGTCCTGAAACTAGCTCTTGTAGATCAGGCTGGCCTCAAACTCACAGAGATCCACCTGCCTCTGCCTCCCGAGTGCTGGGATTAAAAGCGTGCACCATCACCGCCCAGCTGTGTCCATGGTTTTCTAAGCTTTGCTGACTCAATTGGCTGGAGAGAGAGAGAGAGAGAGAGAGAGAGAGAGAGAGAGAGAGAGAGAGAGAGAGAGAGAGAGAGAGAGAGAGAGAGAGAGAGAGAGAGAGAGAG